TCAAGGCTAGCGCTCTACCACTTGAGCCACAGCGCCACTTCTGGCTTTTTTCTTTTTGCTTATGTGGTGCTGAGGAATCGAACCCAGGGCTTCAGGCATGCAAGGCAAGCGCTCTACCACTGAGCCAACTTCCCAGACCTCAAAGAGAGATTCTAATTATTAGTTAACCAGCAAAAAGTCTGAAACTGGAGTCATGGCTCCAGTTTCTGGAGGCAGAGCCCCAGCCATGAATGAAAAAGATGAGAACACAGAACCCTTGAGTTTGAGCCTCAGTATCAGCGCGCGCACACACACACACACCTCCTTAAATATATTTAAGAAAATCACATAAAAACTACTTTAAGGTGGCTCAGTGGTAGAGCGCTTGCCTTGTATGCATGAGGCCCTGGGTTCGATTCCTCAGCACCACATAAGGAAAAAGAAAAAAGCCGAAAGTGGCGCGGTGGCTCAAGTGGTAGAGTGCTAACCCTGAGCTGAAGAGCTGAGGAACAGTGCCCAGGCCCAGAGTTCAGGCCCCACGACCAGACCCCCAAAAAACAAAACCAAACCAAAAAAACCTACTTTGCTCCAAACTCCTTTACTCACTTACTTCTTTTCTCACACTAACCTGCTTTTCTGTCTTTTTCTCCTGTGCCAAAATTTGAGATTAAACCCAGAGCCTTGCACCCCCTTTTTTTGACATTTAAAAAAACTGTATTTTAGTAGCTGTACAAAGGGGTTGCAATTCAACAAACCAGTTTATAAGTACAATGCATCTTGATCAGTGTCACCCCTTCCTTCCTCAGTGCTTTGCACTCCTGCTTGTCAGATTGTTGTCTCTCCAAAGCCACATTTAAAGGAAAAGCAATTTTGAGGCAATAAATATTGATTGCTCAGCACCAAAGGGGCAGTAGGCACTTAGAAAATATGTTATGGTTTAAGAATTTTAGTAGCTAATAATATAGCCAGGATCAATAAATTTATAGTCAATTAAAATATATAATAAAGTACCTGGTGGCAATCAAAGGAAAGAGAGGTAAGAGCTTTTAGCCATTCTTTTTTTCTTTTTAAGTAGCTATCCAGAATGATATATAACTCAAAACCCTTTCATTTCTATTAAATTTAAAGGAATTTTAAGTCAGAGTTCTAGTAAACTTCAAAATCAGCAATTTACCAAGTTAGTAATAACTAAAAGAGACCATTAATTACTTAGTGTTCAAGAGATGATAAAACATTTTTTCCTACATGAATTTTAAAATCTTGCTTTTACAAATTTTTCAACTGCCAATGAGATAACTCCAGAAAAGGAGTAATCCAACAATCTAATAGCTCAACTGTTATTTGATAGGAATTTTCATGAATATAAATTTTATATAAACTCTCTAGTTTATATGAAATTGAAATGAAAAGCAGGGGCTGGGAAGGTGGCTCAGTGGTAGAGCTCTTGCCTTGCATGCATAAGGCCCTGGGTTCAATTCCTCAGCACCACATAAGCAAAAAGAAAAAAGCCGGAAGTGGCGCTGTGGCTCCAGTGGTAGTGCGCTAGCCTTGAGCTGAAGAGCTGAGGGACAGCACCCAGGCCCAGAGTTCACGCCCCACTACCGGACCCTAAAATAATTAAAAAAAAAAAAAAAAGAAAGTGAAAAGCATAAACAGTATACTCCACATTGACTATGTGTACTTTGTCCTCTGCATAAAATGTTCTTCTTGATTAAATCTCATTCCAGTATTTATGATCTTACAGAATTCAGGCGAGGCTGTTACGTCCAATGTATGTGAAGAACAATTATTTAAACAGGCATTAACTTAAAATCAAAGTTGCTTCCCCAAACAAGCTAATAAAATCAACCCCCAAACAGCAAACATAACATACACTAAAGTTGTAGCAAACATCTACAGAAAAGGTAAGTTCTTAGGATTAAAGTGTATATTTTTGTTTTTTTTGGGGGGGGGTCTGGTTGTGGGGCCTGAACTCTGAGCCTGGGTGCTGTCCCTCAGCTCTTCAGCTCAAGGCTAGTGCTCCACCACTTGAGCCACAATTATACACTTCAGTTTTATAGACTAGTGGTTTAAGCCAGGTACTGGTGGCTCACACATCAGCTACTTAGTAGGCTGAGTTCTGAGGATCATGGTTCAAAACCAGCCCAGGCAGGAAAATCCCTGAGACTATTATCTCCAATTAACAACCAGAAAACCTGAAGTGGCGCTGTGGCTTAAAGTGGTAGAGCGCTAGCCTACCACTACAAAAAAGGGAGAATAAGGAAAGCTGAAAATGTTCTTTTATTATTATTGTTGATGTTGTTGTTCAAAGGGGTTTCAGTATATGTTTGTGACTATGATGCATCTTGATCATTGTCACCCCTTTCACTGATAATATTCTTTTTTTTTTATACCCCCGCCCCTGATAATATTCTTTAAGAGAGTTGACTACAACACTTCTTGTGAGTATTGACCTTGTCCTGTCCCAAATACATTAATCTTGAATTAAACAATAGCCTATTCAGAAGTGGTACAAATACTAATAAAGAATGGAGTTCCTACCAGTTTGATGAGATGAGAGATGAATACATTCATTATTATTTATTAGTATATTTTTAAATATTTATTCACTCATTCATTTATTTATTGTTGGTTGTGGGGCTTGAACTCAGGGCCTGGGCACTGTTCCTGAGCTTTTTTCCTTAAGGCTAAGGCTCTACCACTTTGAGCCACTTCTGGTTTTCTGGTGGTTAATTGGAGGTAAGAGTCTCATCGACTTTTCTGCCTCAGTTGGCTTTGAACCATGATCCTCAGCTCTCAGCCTCCTGAATAGCTAGCATTATTGGTGTGAGCCACTTGCATCTGGCTTGTTATTTTTAAAATAAGATAAAAATGCATACATTGTTTAGTTGAGATATTATCAGCTATTAACTCTACTTTTCAGAATATAAATTAGAAAAGTGTCCAGCAAAAGATGATGTACTTGAC